TTTTTTTTTTTTTTTTTTTTTTTTTTTTTTTTTTTTTTTTTTTTTGGCGTCTGTTCCCCCTTTCCCCCTGGAGTTACAAACTATTCCCGAAGCCAGCTTCTGCTCCCGCTCTCGGAATTCTCCCCCGTGGCAGAACAACCATCACCGCAGAGACCCGTCGCTGCGGCTGCTTCTCTCGCACAGCCCCCTCCGCTTATTTTTCTATAAATCTATTTTTTTTTTCCCCATCTCCACGCGTGCCGCCCCCCCCCCCCCCCCCCCCCCCCCCCCCCCCCCCCCCCCCCCCCCCCCCCCCCCCCCCCCCCCCCCCCCCGTGTCCCTGCGCGCTGTCGTTGTCGCCGCTCCGCGTGTACGTGCCCACCCGTGACACGGCGGCTCGGCCGAGCTGCGGCTCCAACTTTCCCAGCCGAAATTCGGCCGGAACATGTCTCTGACCAACACAAAGACGGGCTTCTCGGTGAAGGACATTTTGGACCTCCCCGACACCAACGATGAGGACGGCTCGGCGGAGGGCGGCGAGGAGGAGAGCGAGGCGCCCGAGCCGCCCAGGAAAGCGGGAGTTTTGGGACAAACCCCCTTGGACACTGTTCCGACCCTGCCTTTGAAGAGCCCTTTCTATGATAACAGCGATAATCCCTACACGCGCTGGCTGGCGAGCGCCGAGGGCATCCAGTACTCCCGTGAGTGCCGGGGTACCGGGGGCCATGGGGGGCCGTGAGGAGGGATGGGGGGGTGGATGCGGGATGGATGGGGGGGTGGATGCGGGATGGATGCGGGATGGATGAGGGAGTTGCCGCTCGCCCCGGCCGGTTCCTCCGTGCCCCCCCACAGGGACAGGGCAGCGTCCCTTCCAGCTGCCCCCGGCGGCGGAGCGGGTGCTGGGGGGCGGTGGGGGACGGTGAAGGGTGGATGGGGGGCGGATTTGTCTCTCTCCACTGCTGGCTGCGCCCCGGCCGGTGCCTCCATCCCCGCCCCGGCCGGGAGAGATGCGGGGTGCGGCGGGAGGGATGCAGGGGGTGGCGGAGGGACCCCCCCTGCCCGTTCCCCGCTGATCGAGCACCGGCTGTCCGCAGTGCACGGGCTGGCGGCCGGTGGCGGCGGCCAGGACCCCTCGGCCAAGTCACCGGAGCCGTCGGCGGACGAGTCGCCCGACAACGAGAAGGAAGCGGCGGGCGGCGGGGACGCGGGGAAGAAGAGGAAGAGGAGGGTGCTCTTCTCCAAGGCGCAGACCTACGAGCTGGAGCGGCGGTTCCGGCAGCAGCGGTACCTGTCGGCTCCCGAGCGGGAGCACCTGGCCAGCCTGATCCGCCTCACCCCCACCCAGGTGAAGATCTGGTTCCAGAACCACCGCTACAAGATGAAGCGGGCCCGGGCCGAGAAAGGTATGGAAGTGACTCCTCTTCCCTCCCCGCGGCGGGTGGCCGTGCCGGTCTTAGTCAGGGACGGCAAGCCCTGCCACACGCTCAAAGCTCAGGACTTGGCAGCCGCGACTTTCCAGACGGGAATCCCCTTCTCCGCCTATAGCGCCCAGTCTCTACAGCATATGCAATACAACGCCCAGTACAGCGCGACCAGCAACCCCCAGTACCCCACAGCACACCATTTGGTACAGGCTCAGCAGTGGACTTGGTGAAGGCTGCCGGGGAGCGCGCACACCCGCACACGCTTCCCCCACACGCACACACACCCCAAAAAATAAAAAAAATGAGGAGAAAACAAAAATAATAAAGAGAGAGAGAGAGAGAGGAGGAGACAGACTGATGCTCCAAAAATAAAATCGAAACTGCGGGGGAAGGAATGGAGAGGGAAACGCTATTATTATTATTATTATTGCTATTATTATTATTATTGCTATTATTATTATTATTATGGTTTTTTTCCCTCTGCCGTTTCTTTTCCCCTCCATTTTTTTGGGGGGGGTTCAGTTTCATTTCGGGGGGGAG